GTGACTGTCTGACTGACTGACTGTCTGACTGACTCTCTGTCTGACTGTCTGACTGACTGACTGTCTGACTGTCTGACTGACTGACTGTCTGTCAGTCTGTCTGTCTGACTGACTGACTGTCTGTCTGACTGACTGACTGTCTGACTGACTGACTGACTGACTGTCTGTCTGTCTGACTGTCAGTCTGTCTGACTGTCAGTCTGTCTGTCTGACTGACTGACTGACTGTTTTTAATGAATGTAATGGTATGAACCTCAGGCTGTGAAGATTCTCCATTCACTCACATCTGACCTGATACTGTATCAATCAGTGTATTGATCTTCTGACAGCGTTCACATCAGCGTCACGTTGATCAACCCTGTCCTCATCACGGAGCTCAGTGACCTCTGAGACGTGAGGTCAACTCTTTTATCTCAGAACAGAAGTTCAACCAGTTCAACTGAATGACTGTTTCCTTTGATCTCAGGGATGGTTGTCGTTCTCTCTCTCTCTCTCTCTCTCTCTCTCTGTCATCAGTCAGTCGTTAATTGCTGATGACAAAAACGTTGGAGTGGAAATTCTTGACATTCCAACACAGGGTCACATGACGTCATTCACACCTACATTCACACCTACATTCACACCTACATTCACACCTACATTCACACCTATGACCAATGGACGGTGTCCAGTTAATAAGGTGAAAAGCTGGGAACCTTCTGGAAGTCAAAACAACTTTGTCATATTTCTTGGTTTGTTTTTGTCACTAAGTTCATTCTCAGTATTTTCTTCTCTCCTGGGAAACACACACTATGTGCAGTTCTGCCACCTACTGGCCTGGAATGTCTGCATCAGGCACTAGAAAATAAGGAACAGAAAAATAAAACGCAGTTTGTGTCTTTAATAATCACAGTGTGACGGGGGGGGGGGCTGGGGGGGTGACATTTGTTAAACAAGAGGCAGCCAAATGTTTTTTATTCAGCGGCTGTTAGCCTAGCACGGCTCCAACGTTAATCTGACATCTGCTTCGATTTATTCCACTGCCTCCTAGTGGCAGAAAATCAATTAAAATAAGTCGTCTTTGACGGATTAATGTCATCTTTTTATTAAGAGGCAGCCCCCCAGGAGTGGATTATTAACTGATCTATATATATATATAGATGCATGGTTGGATGTGTGGTGGGATGTATGGTTGGATGTATGGTTGGATGTATGGTTGGATGTTGTTCTCAGTCTCATTCTCCTCCAGGACAATGAGCTCCTAAACTCCTCCTCCTTCTTCATGTGATTGACAGCTGTTCTCTCAGACAGTGATGTTCCACACAGTCCATGTGGTTTTAATACTGAGTCGTGACGGAACGTTATCAGTCGCTCTGTATTCACACCTGTAGGTGGAGCTCTTCTCCTGTAGGTGGAGCTCTTGTTATGGTGACGATGATGAAAAGAATCCACAGAAACAGAGCAGTGTGTTTAACAGAGGGTTGTTGGGTCGACGCCCTCACTGAGATCATGTGATTATCTGACTAATGCCTTTAACTTTTTATAGGCAGCAGTAGACCCCCT